ATCCAGCAAGTATTTGGAAATGTGAGACTGACTAGAGCTTGGGGAGGATGTAGTAAAGGTATAGATTTTAGAGTCGGCATCACAGAAATGATAATTGGAGATATGGGAAAGTGTGAAATCAATGTTGGGTGGGGTAAAGAGGGCCAAGGAGATTCCTCTGCAGAGAGGCCCATGTTGAAGGGCTGAAACAGAGATGAGAAAGAGAGATGTCCCACTGAATGGGACAAAGAAGGAGTCAGAGTGTTGGAAGACCCGGAACCAGAGAAGACTTGAGTATCAAGCAGAGGTGGGTCAACAATATCAAGAAAGTTACGGAGGTTGGGGGTAGTGGAGGGAAAAAAAATCTTAAATTTAGGTATTCTATGTTTATTAAAGTTTTCCTCTGATGTACCAGTCTAATAACTATCAGAAAAATGAGGTTATTCTGGCATGATTTTTTTAAGTCATGCTGATTCTTAGTGATCAACACTTCCTTTTCTAGATGCTAAGAAACTTCCCCCTTAATAAGAGAATCTAGAATTTTCCTATGAATTAAAATCAAATTCACTGCTTTTCTTCTGATCTTGGCTACATTTGTTTTATTTATGTAATCAAAATCATTCATTTTATACCTCACAATGATCTCTGTCTCTTGTTTAGTCATAAATTGTCTCCATCTGTCTGATAAGTAATATGTTCCATGTTCTTCAAATTTTCTTCTAATATCTGTCTTTATATCTGGGTCATGTGTCCATTTTGATCTTATCTTGGTAAATGGTGTAAGATAATGGTCTGTGTCCAATTTCTGCCAGACTGCTTTCCAGTTTTCCAACAATTTTAACCAAATAATGAATTCTTATCCACAAATCTTAAGTCTTTACACTTGTCAAATACAAGGTTAACTATATTTATTTGCTATTGTAAATTGTATGTCTACTCTGTTCTATTGATCTACCTTTCTATTTCTTAGCCAGTACCAGATAGTTTTGATAATCATTGCCTTATAATAAAGTTTAGGATCTGGTACTGCTAAACCTCCTTTCTTTGCATTTTTCTTCATAAGTTCCTTTGATATTCTTGGCTTTTTGTTCTTCCAAATGAATTTGATTATAATTTTTTCCAATGCAGTAAAATAATCTTTTGGTAATTTAATTGGGATAACATTGAATATATAAATTAGTTTAGGTAAATTTTTATTTTATTGGCCCTGCCTAACCATGAACAATTAATATTTCTCCAATTATTTAAATCTGATTTTATTTGTATAAAAAGTTTTTGTTTATATAATTTTGTCTATATATTTCCTGGGTTTGTTTTGGCAGATGTACTCCATGTATTTTATACATTCTAGAATTATTTTAAATGGGGTATCTTTTACTATCTCTTGCAGAGATTTGTTTGTGGTATATAAGAATGCTGATGATTTATGTGGATTTGCTTTATTTTATAGCCTGTTAATTTGCTAAAATTATTAATTGTTTCAACTAACTTTTTAGTTGAGTCTTTGGGAACTTCCAAGTATATCATCATATCATCTGCAAAAAGAGATAGTTTTATTATCTCATTCCCTATTGGGGTTCCTTCTATTTCTTATTCTTCTCTTACTGCTATTACTAGGATTTCCAATACAATATTGAATAATATTGATGACAGTGGCCATTTGTGTTTCACATCTGATCTTACAGGGAAGGCTTCTAGCTTATCCCCATTATTATTACAAATCCCTATTGCTATTACAAATAATGCTTACTGATGGTTTTAAATGTTTTTATCAGTTTAAGGAAAAATCCATTTATACCTATACTTTCAACTGTTTTTAATAGAAGTGAGTATTTAAAGGTTTTTAAGCATTTTAAAGGTTCTTTTCCGACCTCTGGACTCCTTTGTCTCTGTCTGATCTTTAGTATGTGTAAAGAATTGTAAAATTTCTCCCTTCCCTTATGATATCATCAGTGTTGGGCTTGGAGAGTACTTGGCTTCCCCGTATCTTTTCTCTTGCTCCAAGAAATATTGTGGGATTGGGAGGAAGAAGCCTGAAATTTGACCAAAAAAATTATCTGGGAGACAATTCAAGGGGAAAGTGTGGTATTCTTGATGACTTAGATAAAATGATAATATTTGTAAATCTTTTTTGCAAACCTTAAAGCACTATATAAATATTAGTGATTATTATTATTATTATTGTTACTTAGCCCACTTTCACACTCCAGAGAATGTCAGAATTGTCACTCAAAGGAGAAACCCAGAACAGAGACTTTGGCATTTTATTAGAATTAGATGCACGAAGTACAAAAATCCCTAATCAAAACAAGAGATCTTTGGAAATATGTCCTTCCTTTGAGGGAAGGCTTCACTTAAGGATCAACCAAACTGAGATACTCTTGGCTGGGGACTATAGGGAGAAAAGCAATGGAGAATTCTTTAGAGAACCAGGAAAGAGAATATAGGAGTTTTGTGTGGAATTCAGTGAGCTGATCTATGATGCTACTATGTGCAGGGAACTATGGAGAATTCTAAGGATAGCATGAGTTGGGCTGAGGGAACAAAGCAATCATGGAGGAGATGACGATGAAGAGTCAATAGGCATTTAAGTGCCTACTTTGTTCAAGGCACTGTTCTAAAGGTTGACTATATAAAGAAAGGCAAAACCAAACCAAAACAAACATCAATAATTAAAAAAACAACAGTTACTACTCTCAAGTTCATAGTCTATTGGGAGAGACAACATTCAAACAACTATGCACAAACAAGATATTACACAGGATAAATTGTATATAATCAAGAGAGGGAAGGCACTACTAGCCTTAAGGGGGATCAGGAAAGGCTTCTTGTAGAAGGGATTTTAGTTGGAACTTGAAGGAAGTCAGAAGTAGAAGGAAGGAGAGAATTCCAGGCATAGAGAAAAGCCAGTGAAAATTTGTGAGGTGGGAGATGGAGCATCTCATGCAAGCCATCCTTGTGCAAGGATCATAAAGGCCTTGGAGGGGAGTAAGGTGTAAGAAGAAATGACCAAGAAAACCTCAATGGAAAATAGGAGCTGAGATTTACATGGTACCTGTGAGTGACTGAGGCTACATACTTATTTGGGGAAGGGTTGTTTTCTGGCAGGAATTATTGTTCCTGTGGGTTCCTATAAATATCTTCTAAAATAAATAAATAGATAAATGTTTTCTTCTCTATGTTTTGTGAACCATGGGCTTGAAATGGGAACTGTGATAACACCCTGAGTAATGTAAAATAGAAGAGAATTCTTCAAGGTGTACATAACAAGTGAGAAGGACTGACTCAAAGCTTATACATTCTTAACTCAACTTTTTGGGAGGTCAGGACTAGTGATTTTATCAAAGGGCTAGGTGGGGCGGTGGATAGAATGCTTGGCCTACAGTCAGGAAGATTCATCTTCATGAGTTCAAATCTGGCCTTGGACACTAGCTGGGTGACTCTGGGCAAGTCACTTAATTCTGTTTGCCTCAATTTTCCCATCTATAAAATGGGCTGGAGAAGGAAATGGCAAACTACTCCAATATATAAACAAATGATTTTTTATCAGGTAAAGGGAACTCTGGGTTAGAAAAACTTCTCTCTTCCAATGAAGAATATGAAAGTCTTGAAACTTAAAGTCAGAGAATTGCTTAGGAATACTGAGAAATCAGTTGACAAACATTTGTTAGGCACCTGTTATGCAAGAGGGATACAAAAAAAAAGGTCAAAAGACAGTCCTTGCTCTCAAGAAACTCACAATCTAAATTGGGGAGACAACATACAAGCAACCATGTACCAAAAAGCTATATACACGATAAATTGGAAAAATCAAAAGAGGGAAGTTACTAGAATTAAAGAGGATAGGGAAAGGCTTCCTGTAGAAGGTGGGATTTTAGCTCGAATTTGAAGGAAGCCTGCAAAGGTTGGAAGTAGAGATGAAGGGGGAAAATAATCCAGGCAAGTGGGTCAGTTAGTGATAATGGCCAGAGTAGGGAAATAAGTGTTCATCAAAGAGTCCAACGTCATTGGATTGCAAAGTAAGTGAGAGAGGGGTGTGTGTAATATGTAAGAAGCCTGGAAAGGGGTGTGTGTGTGTGTGTGTGTGTGTGTGTGTGTGTGTGTGTGTGTGTGT